GCAGGCGGCAGGCGGGAATCGAACTCATGCGGAAGTGGCTTCAGATTCTCAGTGCTGTGCTTTAACCCGCTGCGCCACCAGGGAGGGCCACATTCAGTTTTTTTAAGGGGAGTCTTTCCTTAAAGTTGAGCATGAGATGTCAGGGTTGGAAGAGATGTGTTGAGATGATGGATTCATGTGAGTGGAGGGAACTGGATGTTCTTTCTTCCTGGGGTATTAGAGAGCTCACATACTACAGAGGGCTTTTGGGGCTCTGGCATGTGTACTTAGGAACAGCAGCCACAATCAATTTGCAAAGGCTTGACTACTTCTATTTAAAAAGATCCTCAAACTACTAATAAATGGCAAGCATTTAAAAGATATTTGTAAAGAGTAGGATTTCCTTCATAAAGCTTTCATTTGGGGCAAATTCTGTGAATTCTCCTATTTGCAGAGTTTTGTTTCGCAGGGAATGGTGGCCCTTGTTAGGCGTATGTGAAAGGTTGACCTGCATAGGTGAGAACGGGAAAGCAGAGGAGCGGCTGTGCAGGCAGGTGAATCAGACCTGCATGGCACACCAGCGGTTGCTTTAGGTAGATCCGTGTCGAGCCTGGCTATGCCTTGCCCCGTGGGCCCCAGCCCTGGGAAGCAGACCCCGGCCCAGGCTGTGGTCCAGGGATGTGCCGTCGGCCGCCCAGCCCCAGAGTGCTGCCTGTGTGCAGCGCGTTCCCTAACTGTGGCGGCCTCCCCGGTGGAGGGGTGGAATCTGGTCTGAGACTCAGCTCAGTCTCTCACTTTCAGGGTACGTCTGCGAAAGGAAGGACCTGCTGGTGAATGGCTGCTGTGACGTCGGCGCGGCGAGCACGAGGCAGTTCTGCTGTGACGGCTGCCTGTCCAACGGCTGCTGCGGTGCGTACGAGCACTGCGTCTCCTGCTGCCTGCAGCCCAGCAAGGTCAGAGCTGCTCCTTGGGCCGCGCCGCTCTTCTTCTTGCCTTTGTTTTTGATGTGTGAGGTTGTCTGGGTGAGATCCTTTTGAGAGTAGAACTGAGACAGGAGCTTTGTGGGTGTCAGGAATTAGTGCTGGGAAATGGCATCTATCTGTAAGGAAAGGAGGGGAACCCTGTTACCTGCATGTGTGCTTTTGCAGAGCGGACCACTCTGTGGTCAGCTGCTCCTGCTCATTGGATTGCTCTTGGATCAACGCGCCCCCCCCC